CTCTGCCTTTGGGAGTCATGCTTGTAACTGTCAATCTTGCAGTGCCTCATGGGACTTGTAGTTTGGAAACAGCTGGAGGGCCTCCAGTTTGACACCCAAGCTCTAGGAAGATGCAGAACCCCTGACCTCTGTCTGAACAGTGCTGATTGGCCCTGTGCTGATCACATGCACTCTCCCAAAAAAAAAAATCCTCTCTAGCAGTACACACCAAACTGAGCATGTGCAGAGTGTCCCTCAAGACTGTGTTCTATCAGGAGATGAAATGGGGAACATGGAAAAAGGAGAGGATCAGAGAAGACAGGATCAAACAGCCTCTTTACACAATGCAGAGGATTAACCCCTTAGGTTCCATGGTGAGTATAACAAGCATGCTTTACTGCATCTACAGACTGATTGTACTGTTGTAGGCAGGTGCGTACTTACCACAAGGCAAACAAGGCATTTGCCTAGGGTGGCTATTTTCAGGGGGGGCGCGCGGTGCCATCCCCCCCGCAGAAGTGAAATATGTGGCAGCTAGTGACTGAGGATGGGAGCAGGTGAGGCACAGGCACAGCAGTGTCGCCTGTGGGTTGCTGAAGGGTGTCCGACTCTCATGGGGGGGGGGAATTTTACTCTTGCCCAGGGTGGCACACAACCAAAATACACCACTGGTTTTGGGTTTAGTAACACTTTAAGGCATCAGAAAGAGCACTTAAGGCATGCCGAAGTGGCTTCTCAGTCAATATTTTCATATGTCATTTTAGCATGCCATTAACCAGAGGTTGCCAACTTATGAGCTAAAGGTGGCCCCTGACATCACCAAAGGGCCACACATAATAATCAATATACAGTTGTGTTCAAAATAATAGCAGTGTGTTGAAATAAGTGAATAAAGCTGAAAATCCTTCTAATAGCTTTTATTTCCATCCACACAAATGCATTGGGAACACGACACATTCTATTCCAAATCACAACATGAAGAAAAATACATCAAATTTGTGTTGTTCCTCTAAAAAAAATGGAAGAAAAGTGAATATTAGACGGTTCAAAAAAATCTCAGTGTTTGTATTCTTCTTTACAAACTCAAACATTCACTATATAAACTGAGAAATGTTTGAAGATTTTGCTTTCCTTTGAATGACTTCATGAATATTTGGTTGTAGTCGCACTGTTTCTGAGAACTGCTGTACATCTGTGTTGCATGGAGTCACCCAACTTCTGGCCCCTGTGATCAGGTATTCCAGCCCAGGATGATTGGACCACATTCCACAGTTCTTCTCTATTTCTTGGTTTTGCCTCAGAAACGTCATTTTTGATGTCACCCCACAAGTTTTCTATTGGATGAAGATCCGGGGATTGGGCTGGCCACTCCATAACGTCCATCTTGTTGGTCTGGAACCAAAATGTTGTACATTTACTGGTGTGTTTGGGGTCGTTGCCTTGTTGGAACACCCATTTCAAGGGCATTTCCTCTTCAGCATAAGGCAGCATGACCTCTTCAAGTATTCTGATGGATTCAAACTGATCCATGATCCCTGGTATGCGATAAATAGGCCCAACACCGTAGTATGAGAAACATCCCCATATCATGATGCTTGCACCACCATGCTTCACTGTCTTCACAGTGTACTGTGGCTTGAATTCAGTGTTTGGGGGTCGTCTGACAAACTGTCTCCGCCCACTAGACCCAGAAAGAACAATCTTACTTTCATCAGTCCACAAAATGTTGCACCATTTCTCTTTAGGCCAGTCAATGTGCTCTTTGGCAGATTGTAACCTCTTCAGCACGTCTTTTTTCCAACAGTGGGACTTTGCGGGGGCTTCTTGCAGATAGCTTGGCTTCACATCGGCGTCTTCTAATTGTAACAGTCCTCACAGGGAACGTCACACCTTCTTTCATCTTCCTGGAGCTGATTGTTGGCTGAGTCCGCGCCATTTTGGCTATTCTTCTATCCATTCCAATGGTAGTTTTTCGCTTTCTTCCACGTCTTTCAGGTTTTGGTTGCCATTTTAAAGCATTTGCTATCATTTTAGCTGAGCAGCCGATCATTTTCTGCACTTCTTTATATGTTTTCCCCTCTCCAATCAACTTTTTAATCAAGGTACGCTGTTCTTCTCAACAATGTCTGGAACGACCCATTTTCCTCAGAATTTCAGAGAGAAATGCACTGTAACCAGCATGTACAACACATTTGCTGCCTTCCTTCCTTAAATAAGGGCAATAATTGCCACCTGTTTTTCAAAGAATGAATGACCTCACTAATAGAACTCCACACTGCTATTATATTGAACATGCCCCTTTGAATGAGTGATTCAATGACACAGAATCAGCAGCATGCATGTCATGACTGTCGGGTCTGTTGGATTTCTATTACTCTACTACACCTGCTAGGAAATTATTTGCCATGTAGAAATATCATTTCCACCAAAAACAGTGATTGATCCGGTTAGTGATGTCTGACGCTATTATTTTGAACACAACTGTATGTAATGCTTATGAGGACTGTCAGAGACTGCAGATCTAATAGAGGAAAAATGAGGGTCAGAGAGTGAGGACAGGATACATTGTTGGCTGGGGATATGCTGCAGAAGACAATATTTATTATTTATTTATTTCAGGTACTTATATATCGCCGTCAATTTACACAGCACTTTACATATATATTGTACATTCACATCAGTCCCTAACCCTCAAGGGGTGTACAATCTAAGGTCCCTAACTCACATTCATACATACACATACTAGGGACAATTTAGATAGGAGCCAATTAACCTACCAGCATGTGTTATGAACCTGGGAACCGTAGTCTATGTTTCCACTACAGACTGCTAATGTCCGAGGGCCACACATCACATACCAAAGGGCCCCATGCAGCCCTCACACCACAGGTTGGGCACCGGGGCCATAAGTGCTAATTTAGCATTCCTTCAATGATGGAACGAGGCCGTAGTCACATGTCCTGCCGTATGGCAGCTGGCATTGACCTTCGGAGTCTTTGTCCTATGGTGGCAGCAGATCTACGGTGACTTCAGCTGGTGCCAGATCTATGCATTCAGGACATACAGCACTGAGATTGAAGATCAACATAAACACTATACATAAGTAATGTAGGAATGGTAAATATTTTATGCATGAATAATGTGTTGTAATTGAGTCCCCAAGGGCGGACTTACTGTATCGCCTGTTCAACATGTAACAGAAAATCTCCCCAGATATCCATCCAGCAGCTTCATGGTGTCATTATTGAGTCATTTATGAACAATAATGATGGAAAGCCATAAAAGCTGTATTTGTGGTAGCAGAGGTAAAAACTGCCAAGCAGGGGTGGACTGACAACTCGTGGGGCCCCCAGGCAATAGGGGATCATGGGGCCCCTGTGTCCTTGCCCAAACTCAAAAAAGCCTATAAAAAAGGTACCAGGGGCTTCTCATGGGGCCCCCTACTGACCCCGAGCCCTCGGGCAGTGCCCGAGTTTCCAAATGGTCAGTCTGCCCCTGCTGCCAACCCAAATCCATAATCCAGTTATCTGTCCCATAGAAACACATCGGCCACTTTATTAGGTCCACCTGTTCAATTGCTTGGTAACACAAATTGCTAATCAGCCAATCACATGGCAGCAACTCAATGCATTTAAGCACCTAGACGTGGTGAAGACGACTTGCTGAAGTTCAAGCTGAGCATCAGAATGGGGAAGAAAGGGGATTTAACCACTTCCCATTCTGTTGTTGTATATAAACGGGCTCCCCGCCTCCTGCTTGTGCGCGCTCCCTGGGAGCGATCTGGTGCCCGCTGTGTCCTCCAGACAGTGAAACACCGATCATCGTATGGGACCTCTGTGCGAGGTCCCGATCATGTGATCACTGATTGGCCAATCAGTGATTACATGCAGAGTAGTAAGCAAGATGTCACTTCTGACATCATTGCTTACTACTAGTGAAATCTGTGAATGATCACAGAGGTCACATGGTACAGGGATATTCACAACAGCCTTGTACCATGTGACAAGCTGTGACCAATCACAGCTCACACAGTATTTCTCAATGGCGGCAAGAATGCAGCCAGAGAGAAGGAGAAATTATTGCTTTTACAGCCTTTATGGGTGTAAAAGCAATCAGTGTACAAAAAAAAAAAAAAAATCTTCATCACCCCCCACAAGTAATACAGTGTCACTATGGTGACACTGTACTGCTAGGGTGACAGTATGTAAAAAAAAAAATAATATAAAAAAAAAAAAAAATGTAAAAAAAAGTTTTCAAATTATAATTTTTGGTTATAAACTAACTTTTTTTACTAAAAAGATAACTGAATACATTTTGGCCAAGATTTATGATGAAATATTATTTATTTGCAAAATTGTATAAGAAAAACACTTTTTTTTTTCAAATTTTTTGGACTTTTTCATTTATATAGCAAAAAAAAAAAAAAAAAATCCCCAGCGGTGAATAAATACCACCAAAATAAAGCTTTATCTGTCTCAAAAAAATGCTAAAAAATTCATATGGGTTACAGTGTTGCATGACTGTGCAGTTGTCATTCAAATTGTGATAGCGCTGAAAGCTGAAAATTGGCCTGGACTGGAAGGGGGTGAAAGTGTCCGGACTGGAAGGGGGTGAAAGTGTCCGGACTGGAAGGGGGTGAAAGTGTCCGGACTGGAAGGGGGTGAAAGTGTCCGGACTGGAAGGGGGGGAAAGTGTCCGGACTGGAAGAGGGGGAAAGTGTCCGGACTGGAAGAGGGTGAAAGTGTCCGGACTGGAAGAGGGGGGAAAGTGTCCGGACTGGAAGGGGGGGAAAGTGTCCGGACTGGAAGGGGGGGAAAGTGTCCGGACTGGAAGGGGGTGAAAGTGTCCGGACTGGAAGGGGGGGAAAGTGTCCGGACTGGAAGGGGGGGAAAGTGTCCGGACTGGAAGGGGGGGAAAGTGTCCGGACTGGAAGGGGGTGAAAGTGTCCGGACTGGAAGGGGTTGAAAGTGTCCGGACTGGAAGGGGGAGAAAGTGTCCGGACTGGAAGGGGGTGAAAGTGTCCGGACTGGAAGGGGGTGAAAGTGTTCGGACTGGAAGGGGGAGAAAGTGTCCGGACTGGAAGGGGGTGAAAGTGTCCGGACTGGAAGGGGGAGAAAGTGTCCGGACTGGAAGGGGGAGAAAGTGTCCGGACTGGAAGGGGGTGAAAGTGTCCGGACTGGAAGGGGGTGAAAGTGTCCGGACTGGAAGGGGGAGAAAGTGTCCGGACTGGAAGGGGGTGAAAGTGTCCGGACTGGAAGGGGGAGAAAGTGTCCGGACTGGAAGGGGGTGAAAGTGTCCGGACTTGAAGTGGTTAAGTGACTATGAACGTGGCGTGGTTGTTGGTGCCAGACTGGCTGGTCTGAGTATTTAAAAAACTGAAATAATGGGACAGGTGGGAGAAGGAGAGAAAGTAACCTAGCCTTGTATGTTGGCTGTCCTGGTACCACACCCCCTAGGAAACATTGTGAGAAAACCATAACCAAAAAAAGCTAATGGGGCTTTAAAGGTACCACACGCTACACATTAGAAATATTAAAACACATATAGGCAGTAGATAAAATTGAACACCTTTTATTAGGCTAAAAAAAACACATATGGGTGGAAAAAAAAAAAGTTTTTTTTGATTGACGTATACATGAAAAAGCATAAAATTGCAATCAACAAAGAAAAAGGTTGCGGTAAGTTGTGGCTGACGTCCTAGACGCTGGGGCGTCACGGGTGTCAGCTGCAACGAACCGCAGCCACTACACAGAGGCATCCCTATGGTTGGTGTCAGGCGGTGCGGTAACACACTTGGTGACAGCCCCTCCGACGATTCCCGCAGAATGGATGGGATCTGCGGATTGGGGAGCATAATGGATCGGACTCCGATCCATTATGCTCAATCCGCAGATCCGATCCATCGTGCGGGGATCGTCTGCTTTCTTTACAACTTACCTTTTCATGGAGCGGGTCCGGTGTCACCCCATATAGGTTGCATGCCGACGATCCCCGCAGGATGGATGGGATCTGCGGATTGAACATAATGGATTGTAGTCCGATCCATTATGCTCCCCAATCCTCAGATCCCATCCATCCTGCGGGGATTGTCAGCTTGCTTTACAACTTACCTTTTTGTGGAGCGGGTCCGGTGTCACCCCATATAGGTTGCATACCGACGATCCCCGCAGGATGGATCGGATCTGCGGATTGGGGAGCATGATGGATTGGACTCCGATCCATTATGCTCAATCCGCAGATCCCATCCATCCTGCGGGGATCCTCAGCTTTATTTACAACTTACCTTTTCATGGAGCGGGTCCGGTTTCACCCCGTATAGGTTGCATACCGACGATCCCCGCAGGATGGATCAGATCTGCGGATTGAGCATAATTGATTGGAGTCCGATCCATCATGCTCCCCAATCCGCAGATCCCATCCATCCTGCAGGGATCGTTGGCTTGCTTTACAACTTACCTTTTCATGGAGCGGGTCCGGTGTCACCAAGTGCGGGCCGTACCCCCCGCACCTGCCACGGGACGCCACCGCCACTACATAGGGACAGAGAAACTATGGAAATAGTAAATAGGAATGCATGGTTAACACTGGAGGGATAAATGGTATTGAAACAACACCTAATTGGACAACGTCATAGGTGTTGAAAATAAAAATATTGATTGATATCCACTTGAGACCATATGAAGTTTTTTGCTTGTAAATTCCAAAGCGTTTCGTGGGATGCAACCCATTTCTTCAGGGAACAAAACAAAACATAAAATTCTACAATAAACCAAAACAAAAACCAAAAACATATACTTAATAAGTAATCATACACAATATTTCCATAGTTTCTCTGTCCCTATGTAGTGGCTGCAGTTTGTTGTGGCTGACACCCGTGACACCCCAGCGTCTAAGACGTCAGCCACGACTTACCGCGACTTTTCTTTTTTTTGTTGATTGCAGTTTTATGCTATTTCATGTATATGTCTATCACAAAAAAAAGCTGTTTCCACCCATAGGTGGTTTATACCATAGGCCCAGGCCTGCATGATGCACTTTATAAAAGGTGTTCAATGTTATCTACTGCCTATATGTGTTTACTATATTTCTAATGCTACGGTGAGGTACCTTTAAAGCCCCATTAGCTTTTTTAGATAGGGTTTTCTCAACGATATTTCAAAAACTGCTGATCTACTGAGATTTTCATGCACAACCATCTCTAGGGTTTACAGAGAATGGTCTGAAAAAGAGAAAATATCCAGTGAGTGGCAGTTGTGTGGAGGAAAATGCCTTGTTGATGTCAGAGGTCAGAGGAGAATGGGCAGACTGGTTGGAGATGATAGAAAGGCAACACAACTCATAACCACTCGTTACAACCAAGGTATGCAGAACACCATCTCTGAACACACAATAGGCTGATCCTTGAAACAGATGGGCTGCAGCAGCAGAAGACCACACCGGATCCCACTCCTGCCACCTAAGAGCAGGAAACGGAGGCTACGGTCACCAAAATTGGTCAATAGAAGATTGGAAAAATGTCGCCTGGTCTGATGAGTCTGGATTTCCCTAGAGATGGTTGTGTGTGAAAATCCCAGTAGATCAGCAGTTTTTGAAATTCTCAGACCAAGCCGTCTGGCACCAACAACCATGCCACGTTCAAAGTCACTTCAATCCTCTTCTTTCCCCATTCTGATGCTTGGTTTGAACTTCAGTAAGTCGTCTTCACCACGGCTAGATGCCTAAATGGATCGAGTTACTACCATGTGATTGGCTGATTAGCAATTTGTGTTATCAAGCAATTGAACAGGTGGACCTAATAAAGTGGCTGATGGGTGTAAATGTCCTACTCTTATAGTTGTAAGCAGGGGCGGACTGACAACTCATGGGGCCCCCGGGCAATAGGGGATCATGGAGCCCCTGTGTCCGTGCCCAAACTCAAAAAAGCCTATGAAAAAGGTACCAGGGGCATCTCATGGGGCCCTCTACTGACCCCGGGCCCTTGGGCAGTGCCCGAATTTCCAAATGGTCAGTCCGCCCCTGGTTGTAAGCATCTTCCACATTGGCCCTATTCTTCCCCTGCTGAAATTCTGGTAAAGCCACTCACTCCGAAGAGAGTTCCTATAGAGCAGTGGTTCTCAACCTTCCTAATGCCGTGACCCTTTAATACAGTTCCTCATGTTGTGGTGACCCCCAACCATAAAATTATTTACCCAGTAATTATAATTCATGAAGTGTCGTTTTACCTCCAATACTGCTGCTTTCAACAGAGTAGCTGCTTTCAACACAGCAGCTGTTTTCTACACAGTAGCTGCTCTTTACACATCGGAAATATGTGTTTTCTGCTGGTCTTAGGCGACCCCTGTGAAAGGGTCGTTCGACCCCCAAAGGGGTCGCGACCCACAGGTTGAGAACCGCTGCGTTAGAGAACTTCAAAATTGAGAGTCTTCCCTGAAACTCAACAACCACATGGCTTTGTGATAAATGAAGCCACTCATCTCCAGCTCAGCGCTGACATGGACATCACATGACTTGGTTTCCTAAAGTGTTAGAATTAACATATGGGTTGGCTATATTTAGCGAAATTGCCATTAATCAGGGCTGATATGGCGATCACGTGGCTTTGTTAGGATAAAAATCCAAGTTATTTTTTTCACCATCCTGTCACCTTGGACCCAAACCTATATGACGCACCCATAGACCTTGACCCAGGCACATAGTAGAGAAGATCTCAGGTGTGTAAAGTGACAAGCACATGGCTTTCTGATAAATAAAAGCATTTATTTCCAGAGATCACAGGGTTTTGTTTATCAACAAAGTGTTAATGTTAGCGTTGGGCTTGGCTTTGTTTAGTAACAGAGCTTTGATCAGTGCTGAGACTGTAATCACATGGCTTTGTTAGGAAACAAAGCCATGTGACTCTATTTTTTTTACCATCCTGGCACCATTTTTTCACCATTTTGGCACCTTTGGCCCAGACCTATAGAAAAAAAAGCCTGGTACATTTTTTCACCACTCTGTCACCATAGGCCCAGGCCTGCATGATGCACCCATAGACCATGACCCAGGCACATAGTGGAAAAGGAGTGTAACATAACCACATGGATTTCTGATACATAAAGGCATTTATTTCCAGCTCAGTGCTGACATGGAGATCACAGGGCTTTGTTTATAAGCAAAGCATTAAAGTTAGCATTAGGGTTGGGTTTGTTTAGCAAGAGAGCATTGATCAGTGCTGATACAGTAATCACATGGCTTTTTTAGGAAAACAAAGCCATGTGATTATCTTCACCATCCTGTCTCTATAGGTGAAGGGCTTTATGAAGCACCCATAGAATTTGACCCAGGAACGGAGCAAAGAAGATCCCAGGAGTGCAACTTAGCAACCACATGGCTTTGTGATAAATTAAGACATTTATCGCTGGCTCAGAACTGACATGGAGATCACAGGGCTTTGTTTATCAACAAAGCATTACAGTTAACATTAGGGTTGGCTTTGTTTAGCAACATAGCCATTGGTAAGTGCTGATATGGTGATCACATGGCTTTGTTAGGAAAGAAAGCCATGTGACTCTATTTTTTTTACCATCCTGGCACCTTAGGCCTAGACCTATTGGAAACAAATGCATGTGATTTGTTTTCACCATCTTTGCTTCTTTGACCCAAGCCTAAAGGAAACAAAGCCATGTGTTTTTTCCACCATCCTGGCTCCCTAGGCCTAGGCCTTTATGATACACCTACAGACTTTGACCCGGGCACTTAGCAGATAAGATCTCAGCAGTGTGGCCAACTAAATTACCTGGGTTTTTCTCTTCTCCGCAGACTGTGTTCTTACAGGATAATGCCATATCTCAGATCCAGCAGCAAGATTTGTCTCCTCTCCTGGGTCTCCAATACCTCTATATCCAGAACAACAGCATCTCTGTCCTGGAGCCCGGCGCCTTCAGGTCCCAGCAGCACTTGGTGGAACTGGCGCTCAACGGAAATCGTATCCATCTCCTCAACAGCAGCATCTTCAAAGGTCTGGAACACCTCAGAGTCCTCTACCTGGCAGGGAACCAGATTACCCGTCTTGTGTCCTACACCTTCTCTGACCTGCCGGTAAGCCATGATGGGCTGTCATATTTTATAAATGGAAAAAAAAAATTGTGAAAGTTTAATGCTGCAAATGTTTCAGCTTTAAACTTGGCAACCAAAGTAACACTGTCTGTTAGTGACTTACTTGATGATGTGGATTCATCCAGCAGGGCATCCAGTGGTTTTTTTTCGGCATTGATGTCTATTTGGGGAGCAGGTGATTTTCAATTGGTTGTAGGTCTTCTAGTCTTTGTTGATAAAGAAAATGTGTGTGTTTTGTGTATGTTCTGTTGGCCCATTGCCTTTTAAAAAGGACCCCTGACTTAGAGCTCAGTTGGCCATTGTAGCATTTATTGTTTTTGGTGTTTTTGGATTGTCCTCATAGCTGACTTCACCTGCTCTAACTTTGTTGTGACCTTGGGGTCCAACTCTGTTCTATGTTTTGGTGGATGCTTTCTGGATGAACCACTAGTGAATTCTACCTTATAGTTCCGTCTCATTCTTTGGTACGGTCTACACCCAGAAGGTTTGATCTTCACCAACATTTGGGCAACTATGTGTTTGTTTCCATTTACATTGACCTGTTCAACCTGATTAGACCTTCACTGTTTGTCCACCCTTTAGTCTCCTACGTGAACCTTTAGGGGTTAAAGCAAACCTAGATACATGTGCTCAAGTGACCCAAGAAGACTCTGGGAACACCAGAAACCAGGGCAGAGTTTGGTTGGCCATTGTGTCATTTATTGCTTTTAGTGTTCTTGTGTTGGCCATATAGCTAACCTACCTTTTTGTGACCATCAGATCCAGCTCTTTTCTTTGTCATTTTTGGTACTGTCTACACTCAGCAGGTTTGATCTACAATATGTGGGCAACTATTTTTTTCCATTTGCATTGACCTGTTCAATCTGATTTGACCCTCACTGTTTGGTCACCCTATATAAACTTTTAGGGGTTAAAGCAAATCTGTCACTAGATGCAAGCACTCAAGTGACCCAAGAACTGAAAGCTCTCTGAGAACACCAGAAACCAGGACACCCAGTATGTTATAGTATATTTAGATACTGGAAGAAAATTCTATGTATACTTTGGCTTTTGCAATTTCCCATTGTCTTCATAACCCATGTTTGTCCTTTGCAGAGGCTTCAGGAGCTGCATTTACAGGAAAACAATATTGAGATGCTCCAGGACCAGGCATTCTCTGGGCTGTCTTCGCTTGCGCTACTCGACCTCAGCAAAAACAACCTGCGTTCCATAACTCGCAGCACTCTTCGGCCTCTCATCAGCCTGCAAGTGCTCCGACTGACAGGTGAGGGGGTGCCGGGGTGTTCAGTATCAGAATTATTTCTGTGCATGTTGGTTTGAAAAAAAAAGATGTCCAGATCTTTTCACTGTAGCGTTGCTTGATCTACAGTTTACATATTTATCTGGGTCACTTCATATTATTTCCTAGTTGTAGAAAAAAAGGACTGCATAGGAAATCTCTGGATTAACAGTGAATGCAGTTGGTTCTAAACATATAATATATTGCCAAAAGTATTGGGCCAGCCCTCCAAATCATTGGATTCAGGTGTTCCAATCCCCTCCATGGACACAGGTGTATAAAATCATCCCCTAGGCATGCAGACTGCTTCTACAAACATTGGTGAAAGAATGGGTCGCTCTCAGGAGCTCAGTGACTCCAAGCGTGGTCCCGTGATAGGTGGTCACCTGTGCAATAAGTCCATCCGTGACATTTCCTGGCTACTAAATATTCCACGGTCAACTGTTAGTGGGAATATAACAAATTGGAAGCAACTGGGAACAACAGCAACTTAACCACAAAATGGTAGCCCACATAAAATGACAGAGTGGGGTCAATGCATGCTGAAGTGCACAGAAGTCGCCAACTGTCTGCAGAGTCAATAGCTAAAGACCTCCAAACTTCATGTAGCCTTCAGATTAGCACAACAGCAGTGTGTGGAGAACTTCATGGAATGGGTTTCCATGGCCGAGCAGCTGCATCCAAGCCTTACATTACCAAGTGCAATGCAAAGCGTCAGATGTCGTGGTGTAAAGCATGCCGCCACTGGATTCTAGAGCAGTGGAGATGTATTCTCTGGAGTGACCAATCACGCTTCTCTGTCTGGCAATCCGATTGACGTGTCTGGGTTTGGCTGTTGCCAGGAGAACAGTACTTGCCTGACTGCTTTGTACCAAGTGTAAAGTTTGATGGGAGGGATATTATGGTGTGGGGGTGTTTTTTTTCAGGATTTGGGCTTGTGAAGGGAAGGGAACTTTTAAGGTGTCAGCATACCAAGACATTTTGGAAAATGTCATGCTCCCAACTTTGTGGGAACAGTTTGGGGATGGCCCCTTCTTGTTCCAACATGACAAAGCAAGGTCCATAAAAACATGGATGAGTGAGTTTGGGGTGGAGGAACTTGACTGGCCTGCACAGAGTCCTGACCTCAACCCCATAGAACAACTTTGGGATGAATTAGAGCAGAGACTGCGAGCCAGGCCTTCCCGTCTGACATCACAAATACGCTCAAGGTCAAACCTTCCCATAGACACCCTCCTAAACCTTGTGGACGGCCTTCCCAGAAGAGTTGAAGCTGTTATAGCTGCAAAGGGCGGAGCCAACTCAATATTGAACCCTACGGACTAAGACTAGGAGGCCATTAAATTTCATGTGCATGTAAAGGCAGGCGGCCCAATATGTTTGGCAATATAGTGTAGTTGGATGCATATATACACACCATCAAGCAGGAGATAAATAATTAAAGTTGAACTCCAGCCAGGAAGAATACAGTCTGGTTGGCAATGAACTTTCTTACATTATGACAAAAGGTCCATTTTTACCCTAATATGCCCCCTTTTTCTTCTATTTTCCTTTTTCTACGACCTGGTGCCACTGTTTTCTCCATAAGGAGAATTTGCTCCCAGTCCCATATCCTCGTCAGTGCATTGTATAGAAGGAGAGCAGTGATGCGTTACTATCGGTGGGTATGAATGCATGGCACCTGGATGCAAAATCCACATATCCATTGATGCAATGTAACGCTAGTTATGTGGGGACTGATCAGGGTGCAAGAGTCCTGAGCTCCACCTATACACATCCGCCATACCGGAGCACTCCCAGCGCCTGCAGAGATCCTTCCTCCGGCACCCAGTAAATGTAGATATTTGTCAAGCAGCTGAGGACATCACACAAAATAAAATGAATAATTGCACAAAAAGTTGTTTTTCTTATTTAATTAAATGTGTTGTTATTGCTGAGGGGGATAGAGGTAAACGGCAACGGGGTTCATGGAGTTCAGCTTTCATTAGAGATTCAGTTTCGTACCAAGAGTAATTAATTTACTGATTTGTAGCGTAGTGCCCTCCATGACCCCCAAGGACCAGTGAGAAACCTCAGAGTCAGCGTGGGCTAGGATTTTACCTAGAGGTCTGATCTTTGGGAATAGTTGGTTGTATTGAAGGGTGCCAGACACTTTTCAGAACAACATGGCATTTAGTAGGTCTATATAAAACTCCTGGGAGAGAGGGTTAGGGTGTAGGACCCCCGTGGGCAAGGCAGACTCCAGAAGAGTGACATAATAGTACTTAGTCTTCACTGATAGAGGACTTTTCAGTGAACCCAGCATCCTGGAAACTCCGCTCCTGGCTGCAAAATGCTGACTGGTTCAGCTGTGGACTTCTTGGGTAGAGGTCCTCATACTTCAGACGAGAACCAGGCTTCTACCCAGCTTCTCTGGTACCCCACTTAGGCTGAAGTTCCTCCATGGTGCTACAATCCCCTTGGTCAGCATTCTAGTCCTCAAACCCAGGCAATCTGTTCAATTATGTGGTCAGGCACTTTAGGCAACAAGCAAAAATACGAATTTAAACCCTAAAGTGAAGTTCCGCTTTTTTGCCTCCACCTCCCCTTCCTCTTCAACCTTTGGACACTTTTTTTAGGGAGGAGGATTTGACAGGTACCTGCTCTCACTTCCATTGGGATCACATAGGTGATTCCAGCGAAAGTTTGGCCTCCCACTTCTCTAGAGGCTGCGGGGTCATTCACAGGGTGCAGTTGGGGAGCTGGCTGTGACGCCACAAGGGGTCACAGCCAGCTTTCCTGCAGTTAGCATGGCGGAACTGGGGACTTGAAAATAGGGGAAGAACCAGCCCAAGTGAGGACAGAGCTGGATCCCTGGACAGATAAGTGTCCTTTTTTTAATTTAAATTTTTTTTTTGGGAGGGGAGGACGGAACAACCTCTGTAAGATATCAAATATACAAATGCTTTCCTCCCCAAATATTTATTCCCTCTCCCAGCCTGCACCGCTGGCAATAAACCTTCTAGCAGTTGGTCGGGGAGATATAATTATTCAGAACTGAGTTTTGCAGCCTTCAACACTATTGCCAGGAACATGCCCCAGAAACAGGCACAAGCAAACAATAACCAGAGCTTGGGGGAAACCCAGCAAAGGCAAAATTGTCAATCAAGCTCAGGCTGGTTACAGCTTAGCAGCTCTAAATGTAAATAAACAGTCTTGTTTAGGGCAGGGTGGCTACCATAGTCATCGTATACAAATACATGGTCAGCCAGCAACACAGTGATGTCCTCTTTTTGGAACGGTTCCACATTCGTACATAAATACTTTTGCACATCAGCTCAATGGTGTATTTAGGTTTTGTGCTGCCCTAGGCGGAGAGAACCTGACACCGACCAACACCAGACTGTGCCCCCCCGCAGAGAGAGCCTGACACTGACCAACACCAGACCGTGCCCCCCCCCCGCAGAGAGAGCCTGACACTGACCAACACCAGACCGTGCCCCCCCCCGCAGAGAGAGCCTGACACTGACCAACACCAGACCGTGCCCCCCCCCCCGCAGAGAGAGCCTGACACTGACCAACACCAGACCACGCCCCCCCGCAGAGAGAGCCTGACACTGACCAACACCAGACCGTGCCCCCCCACCGAGAGAGCCTGACACCGACCAACACCAGAGCGTGCCCCCCCCCCCCCCCCCCCCGAGAGAGCCTGACACCAACCAACACCAGATCATGCCCCCCACGGAGAGAGCCTGACACCGACCAACACCAAACTGCAACAGCTGAAGAATAGGAGCTGCCTGGTCACACTTCCAGCACAGCTTTTCATATAGTTGTCAATGTGTACCTAAAACTGTGCCCCGTGTACTGTGTACCATGTAATATAATAATCCATCAATGTGCACAGTGCTTCTCTGATGGGTAAAATGTGTATACTTCGAATTGCAGCAATAATAGTGTTTTTTTGCTATTTTCAATTTTTCACTTCTAGCCGAAAACTGACGTTTACAAATGTCACTCTGTGCACTGCCATTATGCTCAGCAATGGTTTTTTAAATGTCAAGGTAGAAATGGCAGATCTCTGCTTCCTAAAGTGCTACTGTCAATGGCTGTAATAGGGGAGGGGGGGTGGTTAGGTACCAATTTAGCTCTGAATTTTTTCTGATTGATGTAAGAAGGGCATTAAACACATGGAGGAACTATGAGGAAATTGGCCTTTGAAAATGAATTTTCTATCAAATTATTTACTTCTATTTTCTGTAAGCAGAATAGATAGAAAGGATTGCTAGCATGCAAGAAATAGAGCAACGGTGGTCAAAACTGAAGGCAAAACATTTGTTTAGCTTTGGATAGAGTGGAGAGGGATTAGAACGCCTATTAGGTTTTTATTGCAGTCTGGGCCCCTGTTTGGGAGATTTACACTCTCCGTTTGTCCTGTTTGTCATTATCATTGAAAGTGAAAATAAAAGAAATCACAAATTTTGGGTTGTCCATAGAACAATAATAGAGGGAACATTTGACAAGGAATTCCCTTAATTTGCAGGGATTTCCTCTCATTCCTGCTTCTATGGGGCAGTAAGTGAAGGTAAATCTCCCCAATGGGAGACAGATGTCAAAACAAATCTATCTGACAGGGGTTATACCCTTCCCCTTACGCTATCCAAAATTAAAAAAATTATTACCCATAGTTCTATTTTAGAAAAGGCCTACAACATCACCAAGGGGCCACACACATGTACAGTATATTTCCACATGACCATAAGCCTAGTCATGAAATTAGATGGTAAAGGCTGACATAATGACACTCCTAATTTAAAAGACAACACACAACGATGTTCATCATAAAACTGAGGAACCCTGTAAGTGTTTGAAGACTTGACCATGCTCTGGTGTCACTACCATCTTTTTGTTTTGTTTCTCTAGACAACCCATGGAGATGTGATTGCGCCTTGCACTGGCTCCGTGCCTGGATGAAAGAAGAAGGGAAGCGTCTCCTGACCTCCTTCGATAGGAAGCTTATCTGCTCTGAGCCTCCAAGACTGTCCCACCAGAGTCTATTGGACATCTCTGGAAACAGCCTTATCTGCATTCCCCCCGTGGTGAGCGTAGACCCCATGGAGACCACCGCCCGTCTTGGGGATGAACTGCGGGTCTCCTGTCGAGCTTCAGGGTATCCCCAGCCACTGATAATGTGGAGGAAGGTTGCTCACGCTCGAACAGGTCCTACGAGGGTTAACACCAAGTCCACCGGCAGCAGGACCTTTGAGCTGACCGAGCGCAGTGTTGGCGAACAATTGGACTCTGACACGGGGAGCGGCATGCTGTTTTTGACCAACATTACCATGTCTCATGCTGGAAAGTATGAGTGTGTGGCTTCCAATCCAGGTGGCACAGCTAAAGTGTTATTCCACCTGACTGTCAATCTGTCCAACCAGCAGTCTCGGTCATACACCTCAGTAGACATCAGCCAAGAGCCACTTTATGACATGGAGAGCATGGAGTTCAACTCTCTCAATATGGCGACTCAGACAGCCATCGCCATTGGGATATCACTCTTGGCTCTGACGGCACTGCTCCTCATCGTGATGATCTACAGAAAGCATCACAAGCGAAAAAAAGCCAAAAAGGAGGAGAACATCTTGTACGTCAATGACTACTCCGACGGGCCAACCACCTTCGCCCAACTGGAAGAGTACAGGGATGAGCGTGGGCATGAGATGTTTGTGATAGACAGGAATAAGGCCCATTTCCCAACCTACAAGGATGCAGATGGGATGAGCAGCTTCACCGGCCTTCCGGATCTGGCCGAGCAGCTGGCGGAACAAGGGACGCAGACGCTAGAGGACGAGGCAGAGCGTCCAATGAATGACCTTTTCATAAACCAGGGCTTTTTGTTCCAGCAGCAAATTGCTTATGAAATACATTGTTAAAGGGCAAAAATATAAAAAGAACGAGCGGCTGTGGCCGTTGTGTGTTGAGGACGAGGGGGGCGGAGGGGAACAAAAAAAACCCTCCACAAAGCTGCAAATTTTAATACCGTCTACATTTTCTAAGGTCGTACGTTTAAGGCAGTTGTTTCATATTTTCATTTTCTGCCCTCCAGTGATTTTTAATCCCTCGTTGTGAAGTGTCCTTGCAGCCTGACATCTATAAGTGGCAGCTGGTAGACAAGAGGCTCTGCAGATAGACGTAGGGGATCTGACAGGCAGAAGTTCGACATTCAGATACATGTCAAGCAAATCTTCCTTCCGCCGGCCAAGCTGTCACCGGGAGAGCTTTCAGATTGCTGTCTGACACGAAGAGACACCAGACAACGGGCTGGATGGCGGTGAACGAAGGCCGAACTGCATTTGATGACAGGAATTTTCTAATGTCACATAGCTACTTCAGCCGTGATTTGAGCGGCAACAACCGCTGAGTGATGGAAGATATACACTGCTTCTAAGACATTGGGAAATAACGTATTCCATCCCTGCTGTCTTCAAAACGGGTTTTTTTTTTTGTTTGTTTTTTCTTTTTTTTTTTTTGCATCAGTCAAACTCTTCCGCAGTGTACTTAGAAAGTAGAGCCTTCAACTGGAAAAGTACTAAGTAGATATTGGCAATCAGGGTTGTTTAAACTGGGATCCATAGCAAATTGGGATGATTCGTACCTAATGGATGTTCGCAAAGGGAAGCCAATTCACTCCACTGGGCAAACCAATATAATGGAAAATGGTATCACTTACCTTAATTTTTTTCTGGCAGCAATCCATAACAGCATTCATGGGGTAGTATGCTGCCATGCTGGTGACAGAAAAATGGAAAAATGCATCAAATTTTTACTGTAATTTTCCTTTCCTGGTGCCAACCCATGGCAGAATACTACCACATGTACTGTATGCTGCCATGTTGGCACCAAGAAAATAGTATAACGGTGGTTTTGTTTTCTTGCAAATTTACGGTCATTTTAAAATGCACACTGTGTCCCCCTTCTCGGCTGTGTTCCTGAAAGTCAGCAACTCAATGGGTCAGTAGGCAAATGTGTAGCAAATAATGATGGCAGGCAACACTTTTTGGTTGCATCATTATAATGTAATTACCTTTATTTGAACTAATTCCTTTTGTATTTTTTTAGACATGGCTCATAGGTCTATTGACACATTTATTTGCTGGTCAGGGGTCGGTGAAGGTGATTTGCGCAGTGCTGAGATGGGGGCTTATGCTGCGCAGCAGAACAAAGTGGACCATTAGGAAACCAAGGATCTTTACTGGTCCAAAGAAACCCTTCCCCAGTTTAGTTCTAGCTGATGATCCACAGGGAATAATCCATCATACAAAGCACATCGTGGGTTGGGATTCACTGGGTCGCTGCCAGAGCAAATCCTTTACTCATTACTGGCACCAAAGTTTGCCTGAGGCTCAGCTGGCAGTACAGCAAGACTCTAAAATTATCTATAGGGATTAGGGGTCAAGGCTATGAGATTGAAATATATTCACCTTTTTCACATTTAATATCTCACCTGTCCAGCTATCTCAAAAAAGTTAAAAAATCCATTTGTACTGCCACATCCATTTAATATGGATCTCATCCTTTACATTTTATACAGGACAATTATTTTATATTCTGAGGCGTACTGAGACTAGTGTAATCCATTATTTTCAACAAAGGGAAACAGGAGAGGGAACATTGGTAAAGATGACATAATTTTTGTGTTTTATTTTACCATTTCTTGTCAGTTTTTATGCATAATTTATACTATTCCCACCCCAAGCCGGTTACATCGGTTTCTGTACCAGAGGAGTTTACAGTCTAATGTCGTCACACACTATTATTATTATTATACACGGCTCAAAAAAAATGAAAGGAACACTTTGAAAACACATCAGATCTCAATGGGGAAAAATCTCCTGCTGGATCTCTAGAGCGTCTTAGGGCTTTGGATCTCAATGAATAATGTTGTATAGGATATATATATAAGGATGTCTTAGAAAGTAAAGTAATAGAAACTGGCCATAAAGGATGTTAAATATACACTGCTCAAAAAAATGAAAGGAAGACTTTGAAAACACATCAGATCTCAATGGGGAAAAATCTCATGCTGGATCTCTATACTGACATGGACGGGGTAATGTGTTAGGAATGTAAGGATGCCCCATCGTTTGCTGGAAATGAAAACGATCGACCTACAGAGGACTGAATTCAAAGACATCTAGAAAATCAAAGTGAAGAAATGATTCAGCAGGCGAGTCCATGTTGCTGAAATGTCATTGCAGCAACGCAGAATGGTCCTCAGTAGTTTGTATGGCCCCCACGTGCTTGTATAAATGCCTGACAAACGTCGGGGGAGGCTCCTAATGAGACCACGGATGGTGTCCTGGGGGCATCACTGAGCTCCTGGACAGTCTGAGGTGCAACCTGGTGGCGTCAGATGGACTGAAACATAATATCCCAGAGGTGTTTTATTGGATTTATGTCAGGTGAACGTGGGGGCCATTCAATGGTATGAATTCCTTCATCCTCCAGGAACTGCCTGCATACTCTCGCCACATGAGGCCGGGCATTGTCGTGCACCAGGAGGAACCCAGGACCCACCGCACCAGGAGGAACCCAGGACCCACCGCACCAGGAGGAACCCAGGACCCACCGCACCAGGAGGAACCCAGGACCCACCGCACCAGGAGGAACCCAGGACCCACTGCACCAGGAGGAACCCAGGACCCCCTGCACCAGGAGGAACCCAGGACCCACTGCACCAGTGTAGGGTCTGACAATGGGTCCAAGGATTTCATCCCGATACCTAATGGCAGTCAGGGTGTCATTGTCTAGCCTGTAGAGGTCTGTGTGTCCCTCCATGGATATACCTTCCCAGACCATCACTGACCCACCACCAAAACCACGCTGAATAATGTTACAGGCAGCAGAACGTTCTCCACGGCTTCTCCAGACCCTTTCATGTCTGTCACATGTGCTCAGGGTGAACCTGCTCTCATCTGTGAAAAGCACAGGGGGCCAGTGGTGGACCTGCCAATTCTGGTGTTCAATGGCAAATGCTAATCAAGCTCTATGGTGCCAGGCATTGAGCACAGGGCCCACTAGAGGATGTCGGGTCCTCAGGCCACCCTCATGAAGGCTGTTTCTGATTGTTTGGTCAGAGACATTCACACCAGTGGCCTGCTGGAGGTCATTTTGTAGGGCTCTGGCAGGGCTCATCCTGTTCCTCCTTGCACAAAGGAGCAGATACCGGTCCTGCTGATGGGTTAAGGACCTTCTACGGCCCTGTCCAGTGCTCCTAGATTAACTGCCTGTCTCCTGGAATCTCCTCCATGCTCTTGAGACTGTGCTAGGAGATACAGAATACCTTCTGGCAATGGCACGTATTGATGTGCCGTCCTGGAGGAGTTGGACTGCCTGTGCAACCTCTGTAGGGTCCAGGTATGGCCTCATACGACCAGTAGTGACACTGACCCTAGCCAAATGCCAAACTAGTGAAAAACAGTCAGAAAAGATGAGTAGGGAAAAAAATGTCAGTGGCCTCCACCTGTAAATCCATTCCTGTTTTGGGGGTCGTCTCATTGTTGCCCATCTAGTGCACCTGTTGTTAATTTCATTACCACCAAAGCAGCTGAAACTGATTAACAACCCCCTCTGCTACTTACCTGACCAGATCAATATCCCAGGAGTTACACTGACTTGGTGCTAGACTCTGATTAAAAAGTGTTCCTTTTATTTTTTGAGCAGTGTATATTTATATAGCTCTGACATATACCGCAGAGAACACTGAGCCACTAACATCAGTCTCTGCACCAGAGGAGCTTACACTCTAATGTCCCCTCCCCCACACTCACATCAGTCTCTGTACCAGAGGAGCTTACACTCTAATGTTCCCTCCCCCACAGTCACATCAGTCTCTGTACCAGAGGAGCTTACACTCTAATGTTCCCTCCCCCACAGTCACATCAGTCTCTGTACCAGAGGAGCTGACACTCTAATGTCCCCTCCCCCCACAGTCACATCAGTCTCTGTACCAGAGGAGCTTACACTCTAATGTTCCCTCCCCCCCCCACAGTCACATCAGTCTCTGTACCAGAGGAGCTTACACTCTAATGCCCCCCCCCCCCCACAATCACACATTATTATATATTTCTATAGCTCCGACATATACCGCAGTGCTGTACAGAAAACACTGAGTCAGCCTGTGTACCAGAGGAGCTTACACTCTAATGTCGTCCCCCCCCCACAGTCACATCAGTCTCTGTACCAGAGGAGCTTACACTTTAATATCCCCTCCCCCCACAGTCACATCAGTCTCTGTACCAGAGGAGCTTACACTCTAATGTCCCCTCCCCCACAGGCACATCAGTCTCTGTACCAGAGGAGCTTACACTCTAATGTCCCCCCCCCCCCCCCCCCACAGTCACATCAGTCTCTGTACCACAGGAGCTTACACTCTAATGCCCCCCCCCCCCCCCCCACAATCACACATTATTATTATTATTATATATATTTCTATAGCTCCGACATATACCGCAGTGCTGTACAGAAAACACTGAGTCAGTCTGTGTACCAGAGGAGCTTACACTCTAATGTCCCCTCCCCCACAGTCACATCAGTCTCTGTACCAGAGGAGCTTACACTCTAATGTCCCCTCTCCCACAGTCACATCAGTCTCTGTACCAGAGGAGCTTACACTCTAATGTCCCCTCCCCCACAGTCTCATCAGTCTCTGTACCAGAGGAGTTAACACTCTAATGTCCCCTCCTCCACAGTCACATCAGTCTCTGTACCAGAGGAGCTTACACTCTAATGTCCCCTCCCCACAGTCTCATCAGTCTCTGTACCAGAGGAGCTTACACTCTAATGTCCCCTCCCCCACAGTCTCATCAGTCTCTGTACCAGAGGAGCTAACACTCTAATGCCCCCCTCCCCCCCCCAGTCACATCAGTCTCTG